AACTGATTAAAAATCAAGGAATCTGATTAAAATCTGATTAAAATCGTCTCATTTTAATCGATTTTTAATCACAAAAAAATCGATTAAAATCCCGTTTTTTCTTGATTTATTTTTACATGGGTTAAGTTCGACAAGAATATCTAATAGAAGTAGGAAAAGAAATATAAATATATCGATAGATCGACTGATTTGAAATTTCTCAGCATACCGATTTCATTTCTACCACATTTTGACATATATAACTATGAAATCAAAAGTCTAAAGATAAATTTTGCTTCGTTAAGTTCTTAAAAAGTTTTTATAGTTTCTTAGATAAAATTAAAAGTTAAAATATTTGTCTTTTTTAGTGAATAAAAAATTTTGTTTTATAAATTTTGTTTAGGAGTTGAAGAATCTGAACGAATAATTCATTATACTCGAGATATGAAAATTGGTGCTCATCTTTTGATAAATCCATGTCGTACTCCAGGTATTCATCCTCGTTTATGGCAAGATGCTCGACTTATGTATTGGTCTATATCTGGTATACCTAATCCATCAAGTGAATCTAAAAGAAATAATTTAATATATATTCAAAGAACAGGAACAAATGCAATGAATTCTGGTCGTCTTATATTAAATGAAGAACCATTTATAAAAGTTCTACGGGATTATTGTTCAAAACATTCCTTAAATTATGTACAATATGATCATTCAAAAGATAAAGATCATATTCGTTCTCGTATTGAACTTTTTTATAATGCTAAAGTGATAATTGGTGTTCATAGTGGTGCATTATCAAATATGAATTTTGCACAATCAGGAACAACAATTATTGAAATAATGCCTTATACATCTGATACAAGTTCACTTCCGATGACTTGTTCAATGTTTCGACCTGAAGATATCAAAGCATGTGCTGGTTATATTTTATATACTCAAGCACGATTACTTAATCAATCATATTGGATTTTACCGATTGTTGTAAATGCTGACAAAAATCTCAATGTTGATACAACTCGATTACAAAAACTTTTTGATCAAATATAAATAATTTTGTTCTTTTTCTCAGCTATATTGTGATCATTATTTGTTGATATTTTATCAAATAATTATCGTTGAATTTAAACACATTTAATAGATGCCCTTTTTAATCATTTTCATTATGTTTTTTTTTCTTTCGTTGAATAATTAAAACAAGCTTTTTCTCGAACTCACATGTATTTTAGAAGAGAATAGTGAGTGAAAGGTTCAAATCGAAGTTTTATGGCTTCCACTCTCGCCTTCATTATATACCATATCCACTAAGAACAACAGAAAGCAAATTCTTTTCTAATGTTCCTTAGTGATGGACAAAAGCCTCCGAACAGCATTAGCGACAAAACTTATACTGTTCTAAAACGTTCCACAGTCTTCCTTGGGGTTTGAATGACTGGAAGTTGTTCTTCAATGTTTTTAAATAGTGCAGTTTTTGTTTTTTGTGCACAGAAAAATTTATGTTCAAGCTGTCAACAATGATCGGTAGCGATGTATCAATTTGCCCTTTCTCATATGCTAAACATAAAACTTTGGAAAAT